TTCTACTAGTGTATAGCCAGCTTAAGACAAAAGATCCTGCAAACTATAGATTAAAAAATGAAAAATAAATAAGTGTAATTAATCAAATTAAAAATAAAAAAAAAATTGTTCTAACATTCATATGCAAATTCTCAGTTTGTTTGACAAATGTTGTTCGAAAGTATTTCATAATTTTGTTTGCTTTTAACATTTGAATTTAAAATGAATAGACTTTCCCAAACAAGAACCACATGTACTATTAGGCTCATGTACACTGCAGCTGATAAAACTCGCGTTCAGGATCTGTTCAGTGTTTTTTTTTTTCAGCAGCCCCTGAACCCTCCCTAATGTTTTCCTATGTGTCCATGTGCACATCTTCGTTTACAGGCAGTTGAGTTTACAGTCGTTTTTCTGAACGCCGAAAACTTGCGTTCAGCAGTCGATTTTATCAGCGTTTCAAACGCAAAACGCTTGTAAACGCGGCAAATCGCGTTTATAAGCATTTGCGTTTGAAAATATTTTTTTTTTTAACTCTTCCAGTTCCCGATGCTGTCCAGAGCCTTTTTTCATCATGAAAAATGCATGCAAAGAGATTTCAAGGTGCTCAGATGGACAAAACACTGAACACAGGATGTTCCTACCAAGCTAGTCACACATTGTAATGACCAATTCACACCTCAGACCTCTCCCACCCTTGGAAACAAAAGATATGTTAATGACCATTCACACCTCAAATTCCTCATGAAGACCCCCTGCCAGGTGACCTTAATGACTCCCTCCACCAGACACCTTTCCCACCCTTGGAAACAAAAGAAATGCTAATGAGCAACTCACACCTAAACTAATCTCAACACATACTGCTGTCTCTGCTTCTACTCTCTGTATTTCTCTGAAACAGTCTGAAATAGTTAATAATTTACCACTTTTCAGTGCATTCTGGGCATTTGGGAGGTTCTCCTGTGCTTATCTTTAATAAACACTTTTTTAAAAAACACTTCTAAATGCAAACGCACATAAACGCGTTATGCAAACACGGCTAAACAGATGTTTTTTTAACCTATGTTTTCCAGCAATCCATTTCCATCGTTCAGAAGTGTCCCGTGTACATGGGGCCTTAGAACTTTGAGAATAATTTTCCCATTCTGCTTCTTCACATTTTCTCATCACAGCAATCAAAAACAAAATGTTGAATTAAAACCACTAAGGATTAGAAAATCAAATGAATGTTCTAAAAAAAAAAAAAATCAAAAATATTGAACTAAATACTACTAGTGTAAAGCCAGGTCATGCAAACTATATTTAAAAAATTGGTTAAAAATAAACAATTAAAAAAAAAAAAAATTAAACATTTTAAAAATGAAAAAAAAAAAAGTTCATACAGGTAATCGTATGAAAGTTCTTAATCTATTCAGTGACTTGACAAATGTTTGGGAAAGTCCATTCATTTTAAATTCAAACAATGTACTTTCAAACAAAAAACAACATTCACAGTTAGAAATCTTGTCACCGCGATCAAAAACTAAATTTTGTTTTCAAACCACGGTTAGAATATCGAATGTTCTAAAAATAAAAAATATTCAACTAAAGTTTACTGGTGTATATCCAGCTTAAGACGGGTCATACAAATATATATAAAAAAAATAAAAATAAGTAAAATTAAATTAATTAAAAATAATAAAAAAAATGTTCAAACATTCATATGAAAACTCTCACTTTATTCGATGGACTATATTGAACAAAAACCATATACACCTCGTGCTCTCCAGTTCCCTTGTTACCTCCTCCCACACTTGCTTCCAGGACTTCTCCAGAGCCTCTCCCATCCTCTGGAACTCCCTGCCCTAGTATGTCTGGTCAGCTCATACCCTGTCCACCTTTAGGCGATTCTTGAAAACTCAGTTTATACAGAGAAGCCCACCCCACCTCCACCTAAGAACTGTACTTGAGTCGCCTCCATCATATCATCCCCCGCAGCTATCACCTTTTGTACCTCCTCCCCCTCCCTTTAGATTGTAAGCTCCATGAGCAAGACCCTCCTATTCCTATTTCCAGCAGAAATTTTTGAATGCTTGTTCTTTAAACATCACATAAGCAGATTATTAATGTTTAGCTCGATCCTGAATTGTGTTTGTCTGAGATTTGCAGCGGGGCGGAGGGGGAAGGTTCCATTTCATGAAGTATACCCCCCGGGCACAATAGCCATTCTGTTCTCTGATCTTATGGAGCTGGACTTTTTTCTATTCTGTATCCTCGGGAGGAACAATGACTCCTTGTGTCATCTATACCTGAATGTACAGTGATCACATGTAGCGAGGATTTGGCGAGTCAGCTGGACGCGGTACCAGACTAGTTCTGGGAGTTTTCACCTTTCTCTGGGTTTATTATGAAGCCGTAATGCACCTGACTCTCTTATCCAGAACAAAAGAAAAGGAACAAAGAGATGACTACAGGTGGATGGGATTCTCAAAAGTATCAAAGCAACAAATTCTGAATTCCTGGAAGGGGTAGTGCCGTGTGTATTCCCTGGGTCAATGTATAGACCGTATCAAATGTCAGTTCATGTATGGTGCATAACTGACACTTCTGCCTGTGTGATCAGTGCAGTCCCATCATGGTTTCCATATCTCATATTTACTGTATATATTCATTATATTATATTTACTGTATATATTTACATTATATTATATTTACTGTATATATTCATTATATTTACTGTATATATTCCTTATAATATAATGAATATATACAGTAACTATAAGGAATATATACAGTAAATATAATGAATATATACAGTAAATATAATATAATAATGAATATATACAGTAACTATAGGAATATATACAGTAAATATAATAAGGAATATATACAGTAAATATAATAAGGAATATATACAGTAAATATAATAAGGAATATATACAGTAAATATAGTTACTGTATATATTCAGTATATATTTACTGTATATATTCAGTATATATTTACTGTATATATTCATTATTATATTATATTTTACTGTATATATTCAATATTATATTATATTTACTGTATATATTCATTATTATATTTACTGTATATATTCCTTATAGTTACTGTATATATTCATTATATTTTACTGTATATATTCATTATTTATTATATTTACTGTATTCATCATTCTATTATATTTACTGTTTTTTAGGTAAAAAAAACTTTATTAAAAGACTTTTGTACCATAATTTTTTGTTTATTATGTATATTATTATTATTACGATCCATAATTTTATCATGGTAATCAATACATCTTAACCCCTCGCCTACCGGGCACTATTACCCCCTTCTTGCCCAGGCCAATTTTCGGCTTTCAGTGCTGTTGCACTTTGACAATTGCGCGGTCATGCAACACTAAATTATTATTGTTTTTTTTGAGACAGAGCTTTCTTTTGGTGGTATTTAATCACAACTGGGGTTTTTATTTTTTGCTAAACAAACAAAAAAAGACCAAAAAATTTGGAAAAGTTTTTCTTCGTTTCTGTTATAAAGTTTTGTATATAAGTGATTTTTCTCCTTCACTGATGAGACTGCACTGATGAGGAGGCACTGATGAAGCTGCACCAATTTGTTGCACTGATAGGCATTAATAGGTGGAACTGATAGGCATTGATGGGCAGCACTGATGGGGCTACACTGATGATTAGTGCCCTGATGATCAGTGTGATGAGATGTCACCTGTGAGAAATGCCACTTACCAGCTCTCCTCTCCTCATGCACTGTCAGTGCGAGGAGAGGACTGCCAATAACCGGCATTTCCTATTTATACCGCGATCAGTTGTGATTGGACACAGCTGATCACATGGTAAAAAGGCAGCTTTGATTGGCCCCTCACCTGGACACGTGTCCAAAGGACAAAGCAATCACAGTTCATGCACAGAGCGCCTCAGGTGGCGCGCAGGGGGTGTGGTTCTTTGAGGACGCCCTCCCAGAACTAGCCAACAGTGCTGTAGCTGACTTTTGGCTTTAGCACGGCCGGGAAGTGGTTAAGCATCATCTTCATCTTTCTAATATTTATATTTAGAATTATTATCGTATGTATTTATTATTTATTTTATGATTCTATTAGGCCCCATTCACATTGAGCGATTTGGAATCGTGGACAGAATCGCCGTGATTCTGCCCGCAATTCCAAATCACGGCAAAGACACACATTTGTGTTCCTTTATTGTTAATGACAGTACTAAAAGGTGCAGCGCTAAAATTATATTAAACCAAATAATACTCCAAATAATAGATAATATTTAGGTCATAAAAATATAATGTTCATAAAGTGACAGGTCGTGCTAAGGTGCCAATCAAGGACTGATAATTACTCCAAAATTCAGTGATGTGCCAAAGGTGTAGTAAAAATACGGCGCATTGGCTCCTCCTTGACACATTTCATGCCACGCACTTCCTCAGAAGGGATTGCCAATCCCAATCATTGGCAAGATGGCCGCAGGACCTCCGAAACGCGTCGAGGAGCCAATACGCCATGACGTCACGCCGCCGGAGTCTCGTGAAGGTCCGTTCCTGACACGTTTCAAGGAACAAACACTCTTCATCAGAGCTTCAAACCCCTCAAAACGCATCAGCCTGTGACTCTGAGCAATTCCTTGGTTGTGCTGACATATTTATATCCTGACCTCTCCATCACTTGGGATCATTTACATCGCTTGTTTGTCTATGGCAGTGTTTGGTATGCATTTGGTAATGTTTTAATTAATAAAGATCTTCTTTAGTGTACTGCACTAGGCCTTTGCACCCTCAATGGTTGTACTCTAAATACAAACCTCTACTGTTGTCAATGGCTAATACAATACAATACTCTGCTGCTATATCTGAAACCTTAAATGTTGACTGCATAAAAGAATATCCAAACAAAAGTCAATCAATAATCCACGGCCTTTTCTGGTGGAATTGCAGGTCTGCCATTGTTCCACAGAAGACACAAGGCTGTCCAGGCGTCTATACTCTGGGGCTGGTGTATAACATCTTTATTTTTATTTCCTAGCCTGCCCTATTGGACGTACTTTGGAGGAGTGTCTGCACTGACCCCGGATCAGTTTATGAAAATCAATGGTTTCCCCAACACATATTGGGGCTGGGGAGGAGAAGATGATGACATTGCTGTGAGGTGAGATTGGAGAACAATAGACTGCTGAATGGGACTGTATGTCTATTCCACAAATTCTCATATTTTCTGCCCTATTCTATGAACTTTATACTGACTGGTTAAAAAAAAAAAAAAACAATAAAAAGTACCAGAGGCGCTGAAATGGTCAAGTCCAAACTTTATCTCCCTTTTTACCCTAAAGTAGAGGGTCTCCAAACTGCAGCTCATGGGCTGGAATGGGACCTTTGCTTGCCTTTATCTGGCCCTTCCACTGACACCAACAATGAGGCACTATTCCTTCCACGGACACCAACAGTGAGCCATGTTTTCCTCCCACTGATATAAATTATGAAATACTATATCACCCACTGGCACCAAAGATGGGGCACTATTCCTCCACTGGCACCAAAGATGGGACAGTATTCCTCCCACTGACACCAAAGATGGGACACTATTCCTCCCACTGACACCAAAGATGGGACACTATTCCTCCCACTGGCACCAAAGATGGGACACTATTCCTCCCACTGGCACCAAAGATGGGACACTATTCCTCCCACTGACACCAAAGATGGGACACTATTCCTCCCACTGACACCAAAGATGGGACAGTATTCCTCCCACTGACACCAAAGATGGGACAGTATTCCTCCCACTGACACCAAAGATGGGACACTATTCCTCCCACTGACACCAAAGATGGGACACTATTCCCCCCACTGACACCAAAGATGGGACACTATTCCCCCCACTGACACCAAAGATGGGACACTATTCCCCCCACTGACACCAAAGATGGGACACTATTCCTCCCACTGACACCAAAGATGGGACACTATTCATCCCACTGACACCAAAGATGGGACACTATTCCTCCCACTGACACCAAAGATGGGGCACTATTCCTTCCACTGACACCAAAAGATGGGACACTATTCCTCCCACTGACACCAAAAGATGGGACACTATTCCTCACGCTGACACCAAAGATGGGACACTGTTCCTCCCACTGTTGTCAATGTTGGGGCACTAATATTCCATCTGATACCAATGATGGGGCACTATTCCTTCCACTCAAACGAACAAGGGGACACTATTCCTCCCACTGACACCAATGATGGGGCACTATTCCTTCCAACTGAAAACAATGATGGGGTACTATTTCTCTCACTGATACCAATGATGGATTTTTTTTAATCTCAACAACCAGGAAGCCTGAAGCGTTTACTTTCCGCTGTTCTGTATTCACAGTCCGGCCCCCCTAAGGTCTGAAGGACAGTAAACTGGCTCTTTATTTAGCAAAGTTTGACCCCTGCCCTAGAGGAACCCTGAAGGCATTTTCAGGTCTTGGGGAATCTCTTCTAAAACCAAGGGTCAATAAAAAAAATGCCGACTACATTGGTGTCCAGTTAGAAGAAAGCCTCCCTTACAGTGCTGGGTAAAATGCCAACCTTACAGATAGCTAAAATAATCATTGATGTCATGTTATTGACTCGTCTAGTGGCTTTGGCCCTGGAACTATGCAGCCACTATCAAATGAGGGATCAATCAGCCACAGCTCAAGGACCCTAGGATTCCATGAAACCCTGGTTGAGAATGGCTGGAGCGAAGCTGACCCCAAACCTAACAATCTGACTGTACTGTCTGCTAAATTTCCATTAGACTAGTGCAAAAAATGTAATTGCCGTTCACTCATGTCATATGAAGCATTTTCCAGCCTAAATTGTATGTGAAGCCAAAACCTTTTGTTCTGTTAGGAAGGGTTAGCTTACATTTTACTGTTTGTGAGATTGCTTAACTTCCCGTGATGGATGAACCAGAAGTGGGAGGAAATAGTTGTCCCTGGAACAAATGTCCGTATTGGAGCAATTGCCTTTACCTCTTGTTTTGGTGTAAAAGTATGGTGAAACACAGTGCTCTAGTTACATAGTCTGGCTGAAAAAAGACAAAAGTCCATCCAGTTCAACCTAAAAAAAAAAAAACTGTTATAATCCTATACCCACAGTTGATCCAGAGGAAGGAACAAAACCCAGCAAAGTATGAACCAATTTGCTCCTGCAGGGAAAAAATTCCTTACTTATTCCCCGAGAGGCAATCGGATATTCCCTGGATCAACTTTACCTATAAATGTTAGTATCCAGTAGTGATGCACCAAAGTGAAAATTCTGGTACCAAAACCGAAAATTCAAAATGCACTTAACCAAAACAGATATACGCAGTTTTTAAAAATGAATATATATTTTTGGAAAAAAAAATACACTTTGATTAAAAAAAACAATATATACCCCAATTTTTTTTATAAAATATGAAAGAGAATGTTACGGCGAGTAAATAGCTGCCCAACATGTGTGAAACTGTGGTACTTCAAAATCTCCATGGGTGACGCTTTAAAAATTTCTACAGGTTAGCGATGTAAAGTTACAGAAGAGGGCTAGTGTGAGAATTATTGTTCTTTTTCTGACGTTCGTGGTGAACGCCATTTACATATGTGGGCATGGCCTATGTATGCGTTCCCATTTATGTGGGGGGACAGGGGCATTTTAAACTTTTTAAAAAAAAATTTAATTAATGTTTTGTTTTTGTTTTGTTTTTTTTTGTTTTTTTGCACTGTTCCTTTAAAAAAAAAAATATAATCATTTTTATTCTTATCACAAGAAATGCACGCATCCCCTGTGATAGATATAATTAGTGACAGGTCCTCTTCATGGAGAGATATGGGGTCAATAAGACACCATATCTCTCCTCTACAATGTAAAGCATTGGATCAAAAAAAAAGCATTGCTCTAGTGCAGTGGTTCTTAACCTTTTTGGAGGTACTGAACCCCACCAGTTTCATATGCGCATTCACCGAACCCTTCTTAATTGGAAAAATAAAATATGATTTTTAAAATTCAAAACATAGGTATATATTTATACATAGGTGCACAAAATGAACAAAAACCATTAAAACATGATTTTCACACAAAAACAAAATAATGAATATTTACCGCAAATCAGTGTGACTTCTGCTGTTGTCTTTCAGAGGCCAGTTCAGAAATGCGCGGCATTACCTTGGCAAGTGCCACTCTCATGTCATTTTCGCAACAAAGTCTGTTCCTTTTCTTCGTCTTTATGTCCAGCATCCTCGAAAAGGATTGCTCGCAAAGATATGTTGTAACAAACGGTATGAAAATTCATCCCCCATAATAATTCATCCCCCATAATAATTCATCCCCCATATAGTAATTCATCCCCCATATAGTAATTCATCCCCCATATAGTAATTCATCCCCCATATAGTAATTCATCCCCCATATAGTAATTCATCCCTCATAGTAATTCATCCCTCATAGTAATTCATCACCCATATAGTAATTCATCCCCCATATAGTAATTCCTTCCCCATATAGTAATTCCTTCCCCATATAGTAATTCATCCCCCATATAGTAATTCATCCCCCATATAGTAATTCATCCCCCATATAGTAATTCATCCCCCATATAGTAATTCATCCCCCATATAGTAATACATCCCCCATATAGTAATTCATCCCCCATATAGTAATTCATCCCCCATATAGTAATTCATCCCCCATATAGTAATTCATCCCCCATATAGTAATTCATCCCCCATATAGTAATTCATCCCCCATATAGTAATACATCCCCCATATAGTAATACATCCCCCATATAGTAATACATCCCCCATATAGTAATACATCCCCCATATAGTAATACATCCCCCATATAGTAATTCATCCCCCATATAGTAATTCATCCCCCATATAGTAATTCATCCCCCCCTATAGTAATTCATTCCCCATAGTAATTCATCCCCCCTATAGTAATTCATTCCCCATATTAATTCATCCCCCATATTAAGTCCCCAAGTCCCCCCTGTGTCAATTCACTTACCTTTGCTCCGCGCGTTCCTCTCGCCGTATTCCCGCGCCGTTCCGGTCTTCAGGGCGGACTGTGAGAGGAGCCTAGCTCCTCTCACGTTTGTCACGCTGCTCTGCCTACACACATCCTGACAGCCAATCACTGGCTATCAGGATGTGAGTGGCAGCGAGACTGGCCAATCATTGCATTTGAGTCCCTGCCGCCCGAGAGGAGGGAGGGGAGCGGGCGCCCGGCACACAAGAGCCGCGGCTTGCCGACCACTGGGCATGTCATCACAAATCATGAGTCGGGTGTGGGTCACCTCCGCCGAACCCCCGAGACTGACTCACCGAACCCCTGGGGTTCGATCGAACCAAGGTTAAGAACCACTGCTCTAGTGCTTTAAAAAAAAAAAAGAATGGCCGGAACGGAAGTGACATCACTCCGGTCCTCCAAGGGCATAGAGATGTGTGGAGGCCATCTTTCCTTCACTCATCTCTATGCCCAGCGCCGGGATTGATGGTTTCTCAGGTAAGGGTGAACTAACGAGCGGTGGCGGCAGTGAGGGGCAGGGTTTTTTTTTCCGCACCTGTATCAGTGTGTTTTTTTTTTTTTTTTTTCAATTTCGGTGCATCCCTAGTATCCAGTTATATTATGTGTATCTAAGAAAGAACAATATGGGTGAGAATTGTAATTCCAGTTTGGTATGACACAAAGCAGCCCTCTAAATCCTGATGGAACCTAGATGTGGCTCTGAAGACAGAAGTTGCAAAAGGAAGAAGAGTTGACAGACCAGATAAAATCCTGCAATGGGCCATAGTTTGGAGACCCCAAGACAGGAAGTGAAGGAAAAATAACCAGTGGGATACAGATAGCAAAAAACGAACGGGTTTTAACTTTTCTTTATTTTTTTTTTAAGTTTTTGAATTTAGATTGTATTTGACGTGAGATTATTATAGCGACATGTTCTTATCTGGCTACAAAATGTGTTTTCTATTTGAGGATTCGTTTATCTGGACTGAGCATCACAAGGACGCCGCTAAGCCTTGGCCGCTATAAAATGATCTCACATGACCGGGATTCTGGAAATGAAGAAAACACGTACAGGTACATGTCAGATTTAAAGACACCTATTGGTATGACGTCATGATGGAGGTCTTGGTCAGGTGGGCCAAGACCATAATATCATGCATTTTATTTTTCTCATCAGGTTATTTCTTATATTTTGTCTAATGTACACCTGTCAGAAGGGCTGCCATTGATTATTATTATTAATGCTAATGCTGCTATGCTTATCCATTGTTTCAGCAGCGTGTGTGATTGATATACAGTGGGGAAAATAATTATTTGATCCCCTGCAGATATTGTAAGTTTACCCACTTACAAAGAAATGTAGGGTCTATAATTTTTATCATAGATGTATTTTAAATGATATGAGACAGAATATCAACCAAAAATCCAGAAAAACACATGATACAAATGTTATAAACTGAGTTTCAGTTCAGTGAGTAAATTAAGTGTTTGATCCCCTACCAACCAACAATAATTCTGGCTCCCTCAAACTGGCTTTTGCTCATGTCATACACAGATTGGTCCTGTCAATTTTAAGAAGGTGCTCCTAATGACAACTCGTTATGTGTATAAAAGACACCTGTCCACAGAATCTTTTTTCCATTCAAACCTTCCCACCATGGGCAAGAATAAAGAGCTGTCAAAGGATGTCAGGGGCAAGATTGTAGACCTGCAGAAGGCTGGAATGGACTACAAGACCATCTGTAGGAAGATTGGTGAGAAGGAGACAACAGTTGGAGCGATTTTTGCAAATGGAAGAAATACAAAATAACCATTAATCGCCTTCAGTCTGGACCTCCATGCAAGATTTTGCCTCATGGGGTAAGGATGATCATGAGAAAAGTGAGGGATCATCCCAGAACTACACGGGAGGAGCTTGTGAATGATCTCAAGGCAGTTGGGACCACAGTCACCAAACAAACCAATTTGTAACACAAGACGCCGCCAAGGATTGAAATCTTGCAGCACCCGCAAGGTCCCCCTCCTCAAGAAAGCACCTGTATTGGCCGGTCTGAAGTTTCTCAATGAACATATAAATGATTCAGAGAAGGATTGGGAAAAAGTGCTGTGGTAAGGTGAGACCAAATTTGAAATCTTTGACATTAACTCGACTCACCGTATTTAGAGGAAGAAAAATGCTGATTATGACCCTAAGAACACCATCCCTACAGTCAAGCACAGAGGTGGAAACATTATGCTTTGGGGCTGTTTCTCTGTGAAAGGTACAGGCCGACTTTGCGGCATTAAGGGGATAATGGACGAAGCCATGTATTGTAAAATCTTGGATGAGGTCAGTCTTCTCTCAGCCAGAACACTGAAGATGGGTCATGGATGGGTCTTCCAGCATGGCAGTGACCCAAAACATACCACCAAGGCAACAAAGGAGTGGCTCAAGAAGAAGCACATTAAGGTCATGGAGTGGCCAAGCCAATCTCCAGACTTTCATCCTATAGAAAGTTATGGGGGAAAGCTGAAACTTTCAGTTGCCAAGAGACGGCTAAGAAACATTAAGAATTTAGAGAAGATCTGTAAAGACGAGTGGACCAAAATCCCTCCTGAGATGTGTGCAAACCTGGTAACCAACTACAAGAAACGTCTTACCTCTGTGCTTCCCAACAAGGGTTTCTCCACCAAGTACTAAATCATGTTTTGATTGGGAATCAAATACTTATATTACTCACTGAACAGAATCTCAATTTATAACATTTGTATTGTGTATTTTTCTGGATTTTTGATTTGATATTCTGTCTCTATCATTTAAAATACACCTATGATAAAAATTCTAGTGGGCAAACTTACAAAATCTGCAGGGGATCAAATAATTATTTTCCCCACTATGGTGTTATTGTGCTGCACTGCTAAATATATAAACTACAAAGTGATCTAAAAACTTTTTATAAATAGATAAAATATAAAATCCCCGATGAAGTCACGTGATGTGTGATGCAGCGCATTAGGCGGAGCTGGGAGACATCTTTATGTACTAAAACCAGAAGTGGAGCGCCGATAGGGACTTTCAGTATCCCGTTGCTTTTATGTGAACTTGTTATTGCTTTTGATTACATGTGAATGCATTAACTTCAATCAATGGGTTTGTTCCCTATGTGCTTTTTGAACCTACTTTAGTGAGTGAGCAGGAGCTCCAACCCCTTAATGGAGAACACACACTTACTGGTTGACAGTGTTCGAATTTGGAAGAGTGACCTTTTACCCATTGGGTTTTTATGCACAATATGTTGTTGTGAGTCACAAGCTGAAGGCGAGGGCACAGTTCTCACAGTGGTGGAACACGTTCATTTTAATGGTTTGATGTGCCGCATCGGACTTGTGATGTGTATTTCATCATTTGTTCGATGTTTTCATTGTTGCAGCATTGGAGGTGTGGTATCACAGTTCAATTGCAAGAGAATAATAATGATTTCTGTGTCGCATTTAGACTTTAGTTTATCATTATATTTTATGATCCCCCACTCAGTAGTAACCTCCAGCTTTGCTGATCCCCCACTCAGTAGTAACCTCCAGCTTTGCTGATCCCCCACTCAGTAGTAACCTCCAGCTTTGCTGATCCCCCACTCAGTAGTAACCTCCAGCTTTGCTGATCCCCCACTCAGTAGTAACCTCCAGCTTTGCTGATCCCCCACTCAGTAGTAACCTCTAGCTTTGCTGATCCCCCACTCAGTAGTAATCTCCAGCTTTGCTGATCCCCCACTCAGTAGTTACCTCCAGCTATGCTGATCCTCCACTCAGTAATAACCTTCAGCTCTGCTGATCCCCCACTCAGTAGTAACATCCAGCTTTGCTGATCCCCCACTCAGTAATAACCTTCAGCTCTGCTGATCCCCCACTCAGTAGTAACCTCCAGCTTTGCTGATCCCCCACTCAGTAGTAACCTCCAGCTTTGCTGATCCCCCACTCAGTAGTAACCTTCAGCTTTGTTAATCCCCCACTCAGTAGTAACCTCCAGCTCTGCTGATCCCCCACTCAGTAGTAACCTTCTGCTTTGCTAATCCCCCACTCAGTAGTAACCTCCAGCTTTGCTGATCCCCCACTCAGTAGTAACCTCCAGCTTTGCTGATCCCCCACTCAGTAGTAACCTCCAGCTCTGCTGATCTCCCACACTCAGTAGTAACCTCTAGCTCTGCTGATCCCCCACTCAGTAGTAACCTCCAGCTATTCTGATCCCCCACTCAGTAGTAATCTGCAGCTCTTCTGATCCCCCACTCAGTAGTAACCCGCAACTCTGCTGATCCCCCACTCAGTAGTAACCCGCAACTCTGCTGATCCCCCACTCAGTAGTAACCCGCAACTCTGCTGATCCCCCACTCAGTAGTAACCCGTAGCTCTGCTGATCTCCCACTCAGTAGTAACCCGTAGCTCTGCTGATCCTCCTCTCTCTCTCTCTCTCTCTCTCTGTCCCCGCTCACCTCCCGCTATATTGCTCCCATGCTGCTCAACACATGTGACATTGCTAGTTTCTCCTGCTCTGATTCCCCAGGTCTGCTGATTGTCAGCCGCTCACTCCTCTCAATCTGGTCTACTCTCACCTTCTGGTATAGTGTTCCCATGATACATAGGACGTGTGCCATCTGCTAGTTGCTCAGCTCTGGACCCCGTTCACCTTCCTGCTGCTTCTCATTGTACACCAGGTGTGACATCTGCACCAAACCCTTCCAGAATATACACACACAGGGTTGTTTTTCCCTCCAGGAATAGTTGCAGGTACATCCCCCTCTGAGTTGCCCCATGTTTCTGCCCCCTACCCACCTCTGAGTACCATCCCTTGATTCCACCCCCCCCCCCCACCTCATGGTATTTTGCCTGGATTTTGTTAATTAGAAACTAAAGCAATAAAGCAGAGAGCAGGATCCCCTGCAACTAGCAATAATAGACCCCCCCCAGCAACAATACATCTCTCAGCAGTCCTCAACAATAGACCCCTCCCTCAAAAGTAAATCCCTCCCAGCAACATTTGACCCTCCTCAGCAGCAGTAGATTCCCCACCAGCATCAATTTACCCCCCAGCAACAAGACCCCTCCTAGTGACAATCTATCCCCCAGCAGCCAGCATCAGTAGATCCTCCAGCACACCACAGAAAACCCTTGGCATTGCATTCAGTACTGGAGGTGCTGGAACTGCATTCCCGCTGAAAAAAGCCCTGTATACACATGAACCAGAAGGGACTGCTAATGACGTCTTTCTTGTTTTCTTGTTGGTTTCAGTGCTTCCTCCCTCGCACCTGCAATACCTCCAAAGCAAAGCTAAAGCTCAATAAATGCCCCTCAAAAGCTTCAGGTGCTGTTAGTAGGCTTTGTCATAGACTTCTATGGAGGCTTCGGAGATGCTTTGAAGCACCAAGAAAGCGACATGGGGTGTAAATTTTGCAGAAAAGCAAATACAGTGTTTAAACAAGACTGTGAGCCAACCGTTTTATTTAGTGATCGTAAAACAAGTGTAAAGAGTCCTTAGAGATTTGTACTTCTGTCCGTGTTCCTGTTGCTGGTTTTTCTTCATGTTTTACCCAATTATAGTATTCACACCGGAACAAGAAATTTGTAGAATTCCCTCCACAATTTCATAGACAGCAGTAAAATCCTGGAAGAGGATCCCCTTTTGCATTCCAAAATAAAAAAAAAAATGTAAAAAAAAATAAAATAGTTGCTGGCTATAGATACAGTACCTTGAAAAAGTCTTCCTCCCCCTTGAAACTTTGCACATTGTGTCATGTTACAACCAAAAATGTCTGTATTTTATTGGGATTTGATGTGATAGACCAACACAAAGTGGCACATAATTGTGAAGTGGAAGGAAAATGATAAATGACAAAATGTTTTACAAATAAATCTGTGAAAAGTGTGGCAGCATTTGTATTCAGCCCCCCGGAGTCAATACTGTGTTGGACCCCCTTTCGCTGCAAGTCTTTTTGGGGACGTCTCTACCAGCTTTGCACATCTAGAGAGGGACATTTCTGCTCATTCTTCTCTGCAGAATAGCTCAAGCTCTGTCAGATTGGATGGAGAGTGTCTGTGAACAGCAATTTTCAAGTGTTGCCACAGATTCTCCATTGGATTTAGGTCTGGACTGTGACTGGGCCATTCTAACACATGAATATGCTTTGATCTAAACCATTCCATTGTAGCTCTGGCTGGATGTTTCGGGTCGTCCTGCTGGAAGGTGAACCTCCGCCCCGGTCTCAGGTCTTTTGCAGACTCTAACAGGTTTTCTTCTACGATTTCCCTGTATTTGGCTCTATCCATCTTCCCATCAACTCTGACCAGCTTCCCTGTCCCTGCTGAAGAAAAGCATCCCCACAACATGATGCTGCCACCACCATGTTTCACGGTGGGGATGGTGTGTTCAGGGTAAAGTGCAGTGTTAGTTTTCTGCCATACATAGCGTTTTTAGGCCAAAAAGTTCCATTTTGACCAGAGCCCCCCTTCTTCCATATGTTTGCTGTGTCCCCCACATGGCTTCTCGCAAACTGCAAATGGGACTTCTTATGGCTTTCTTTCAACAATGGCTTTCTTCTTGCTACTCTTCCATAAAGGACAGATTTATGAAGTGCACAACTAATAGTTATCCTGTGGACAGATTCTCCCACCTGAGCTGTGGATCTCTGCAGCTCCTCCAGAGTTCCCATGGGCCTCTTGGCTACTTCTCTGATGAATGCTCTCCTTGCCCGGCCTGTCAGTTTAGGTGGACGGCCATGTCTTAGTACGTTTTGCAGTTGTGCCGTACTCTTTCCATTTTCGGATGATGGATTGAGCAGTGCTCTGTAAGATGTTCAAAGCTTGGGATATTTTTTTTTATAACCTAACCACAACTTTATCCCTGACCTGTCTGGTGTGTTCTTTGGCCTTCATGATGCTGTTTGTTCACTAATGTTCTCTAACAAACCTCTGAGGGCTTCACAGAACAGCTGTATTTATACTGAGATTAAATTACACACAGGTGGACTCTATTTACTAATTAGGTGACTTCTGAAGGCAATTGGTTCCACTAGATTTTAGTTAGGGGTATCAGAGTAAAGGGGGCTGAATACAAATGCACGCCACACTTTTCAGATATTTATTTGTAAAACATTTTGAAAACCATTTTATGTGCCACTTTGTGTTGGTCTATCACATCAAATCCCAATAAAATACATTTCTGTTTTTGGTTGTAACATGACAAAATGTGGAAAATTTCAAGGGGTGTGAACATTATGTGAAAATGTTTTTAGTAACTGAGGCACAAATGGCTGATCATAAAAGGGAAAAGTCCTGTGAAGGTTAATGATGCTTCATTCTGTAGAGTTTGGTTAAGGAGCAGTTAGGTTTCTCCACTCTACCCCTCCAGCCTACTTAATAGGCCTAAAAGACAGACGACCCCCCTGTACCTGCTGTAGTTACACCCTTATGTCTTCTGTTTCCCTTTTAGGTTCAATCTCCTTAGAAACACCAGGAAAACCTGGAGAGATGATGGAATGAACTCCTTAGACTTTACTCTACTTTCCAGGGAACAAACCGCACTGTATACCAACATTACGGTGGACGTTGGTGAAGCTCCGCCCACCCCGACTGAAGCCAGCAAATGGAAGTTCTTTTGATGGTCACAGACCATCGGTTTTGGAGATGTACTATTTGGATATCTGCAATGGAAAACTGGACTGATGTTTAAAGTTGAACCCATCAAGGTTCGCTGTGTTCTTTGCAGGTACCGGTACTGCCACATTGCTGGCACCCCAGGGTGCCCACAAGTACTTCTATTAAACTTCTTGTGAGCACTTGTGGAGCCTCTGTCTACCAGGTGCACAATGAGGGTTCAACCCTCTGCCACCACCTATTGTGGGGAAAGCAGTTCCCAATGACTGTTCCTTCCATGAGTGGTCTACCGCCATCAATGTGTGTGGGGCCCGTTGACTTGACATCCTCGTCTAATTTTTGTGAGTAGATATAGTTTGAAAAAGTAACCTTGCAAACAGTGGCAGGCTTTCTTGAAGTGCTTCTCTTCTTGACAAATGTGACAATCACAGTTAAAGTGAATGTGACCTGACCACTGAGGTAACAGTGCTGAAGTGGTGCCCATATGTCCCTTTTGTGGGCCTTTAAATTGATCTCTTTAGAGCCTTTTTGATCTAAAGCCAAGGCTGTGCCATGGGGCTTCAACTTCCCCCCAAGTCCAGCCTCCTCATGACGCTAAGGCCCACCCATTATCTAACGAGGGGCAGGAAGGGGTGTGCAATAATCTCAACTTGGGCAAAAGTCAAGGCCCCCCTTGTGTAGCCTGGGACTAGGATCTACGGAAATGTTTCTGTGGGATCAATTTGAAATGGGGAGTACAGGCAGCCATCTCATACCAGGCTTGGACCCTGTTGGGTGAGCAGGGGTATCTGGGCCTAGCTGGGACTACCTGTGCCCCCCTCCACTCAGTCACATCGCAGTACCACTGCAGTGTTCCAAGCTTAGCAGTCCAGGAGCTGCAAGCTACGTTTCCACCCCTGGCCTGCTGCTCACACTCACGCCAAATAAAGTTGGTGGTACTTGGGCTGCCATGAAGGGCTTTTGTCGAGGCTTACAGTGAGACATGTTCTGGAGGACAGAAAACGCATCACGATTATGGGGTTACACAGGGCAGTACTTATTCTAATCGGTACTTCTGAGCCATGCACTGTGTACGCTATATATACCTGAACCCTGCACTTTTACCTTACTCCTGACTCCTGCTTTATGTACATTACACACACCTGAACCCTGAACTCTGTACATGCCATACTCCTGACCTCTGATTTATGTACATTATGCACACCTGAACCCTGAACTCTGTACATGCCATACTCCTGACTCCTGCTTTATGTACATTACACACACCTGACCCCTGAACTCTGGACATGCCATACTCCTGACTTCTGCACTATGTACATTACATACTCAGGACCCTTCAATGTGTACATTACATACTCCTGATCACCTGCACTATATACATTACATACTCCTGACTGCCCCCCACTATATGCATTACATACTCCTGACTGCCCCCACTATATGCATTACATACTCCTGACTGCCCCCACTATATGCATTATACATACTCCTGACTGCCCCCACTATATGCATTACATACTCCTGATCGCCTGCACTATATGCATTACATACTCCTGATCGCCTGCACTATATACATTACATACTCCTGATCGCCTGCACTATATACATTACATACTCCTGACTGCCCCCACTATATGCATTACATACTCCTGATCGCCTGCACTATATACATTACATTCTCCTGATCGCCTGCACTATATGCATTACATACTCCTGATCGCCTGCACTATATACATTACATACTCCTGACTGCCCCCACTATATGCATTACATACTCCTGACTGCCCCCACTATATGCATTACATACTCCTGATCGCCTGCACTATATGCATTACATACTCCTGATCGCCTGCACTATATGCATTACATACTCCTGATCGCCTGCACTATATACATTACATACTCCTGATCGCCTGCACTGTATACATTACATACTCCTGATCGCCTGCACTGTATACATTACATACTCCTGACTGCCTGCACTGTATGCATTACATACTCCTGACTGCCCCCACTATATGCATTACATACTCCTGACTGCCCCCACTATATGCATTACATACTCCTGATCGCCTGCACTATATGCATTACATACTCCTGATCGCCTGCACTATATGCATTACATACTCCTGATCGCCTGCACTATATACATTACATACTCCTGATCGCCTGCACTATATACATTACATACTCCTGATCGCCTGCACTGTATGCATTACATACTCCTGACTGCCTGCACTGTATGCATTACATACTCCTGACTGCCTGCACTGTATGCATTACATACTCCTGATCGCCTGCACTGTATGCATTACATACTCCTGACCCCCTGCACTATATGCATTACATACTCCTGACCCCTGCACTATATGCATTACATACTCCTGACCCCCTGCACTATATGCACTGTGCACATTACATACTCCTGACCCCTGAACAATACACATTGCATACTCCTGACCATCTGCACTATACACATTGCATACTCCTGACCATCTGCACTATACACACTGCATACTCCTGACCATCTGCACTATACACATTGCCTACTTCTGACCCCTGCACTATACACATTGCCTACTTCTGACCCCTGCACTATACACATTGCATGCTCCTGACCCCTGCACTATACACATTGCATGCTCCTGACCCCTGCACTATACACATTGCATGCTCCTGACCCCTGCACTATACACATTGCATGCTCCTGACCCCTGCACTATACACATTGCATACTCCTGACCCCTGCACTATACACACTGCATACTCCTGACCCCTGCACTATACACACATGCATACTCCTGACCCCTGCACTATACACACTGCATACTCCTGACCCCTGCACTATACACACTGCATACTCCTGACCCCTGCACTATACACATTGCATACTCCTGACCCCTGCACTATACACATTGCATACTCCTGACCCCTGCACTATACACACTGCATACGCCTGACCCCTGCACTATACACACTGCATACTCCTGACCCCTGCACTATACACACTGCATACTCCTGACCCCTGCACTATACACACTGCATACTCCTGACCCCTGCACTATACACACTGCATACTCCTGACCCCTGCACTATACACATTGCATACGCCTGACCCCTGCACTATACACATTGCATACTCCTGACCCCTGCACTGTGTGTAGGCTGAAGTTTCAAGCCTCCCCTACTATTTTTTTTTTTCACTTTAGTCACACTCACATTTCTCCGCAGTGTGCACAGCATGCATCATCTTTCTTCTCTCCCATCATTTCTAATGACGAGACTGATTTGAAGACTAACACAAATGTTTCTTGGCAACAAAAGGTGCTAAATATTCTCTGTACCATTAATATATTAGAAACGTTTTTGGCCAGTTCAGGTTCATGTTAAGAAATGGAAGCTTTAGCGATGGTCACGTGTTGGCGGTATTACACCCTTTTGTGCCTTGTAGTTTAACATTTGTCAAGAAGGGGGCCTCACTGGAGCAAGATGGCCGATTGACCGTGCACCTGGTAGGCCTTGGAGAGACGAGGATTTTAGGGCCAGTGAAATGACTCAAGACTTATAGATCGATTTCAATGGAATGGCTACCACTGCGCCCTCCAGTGATGGCAGGACCGCTTTCTAGTGAAGCTTCTATGGTCGCTCTTCAGCCTATAGCTTTCTTCAAAAAAAACAGGTGCTGCTTAAAGAGACCCTGTCACCAACTTAGATTTCAGACACAAGCACAGAAAAAACAAATATTTTTATTGATTACTTGCAGTGTTTTTCCTTTCCACACATTTTTATTTATTCTCCGCAATGTGCCTTTGAACTTGCTAGCAAATTTGACTTCAGGAAGAGTCAGCTGCAAGTGTTTAATTACTGTCTGTGCTGGCCCATCTCCTATGCCCCTCCCTTTCCCATCCCACCGCCCAACATAACCATTTATGTAGCAGCCGGGAGAGAAGTTAAGGAAGGAGCGTCACTTGACTGACAGTTCTGAGCCTGCTGGGGCTGCTGACATCACATCCAAGATGGTGACACCCAGCAGCAGTCTCGTGGCTTTTGGATACAGGCATAAAATACATACAAATATTACCGTATAGGAATGCAGCAATGAGGATTGCGACATGTGCGTCCGATACGGGAAAATCCCAGTGTGCAACATATGCAGGAACGCCACAATGTGTGCAACCTATACATGAAGAGTAGTGGTGCACCGAAATTCTGGAAAAAAACAAAAATTCAGGATGCGCTTTGCTGAGAAAACAAAACAGACAATTAAAAAATATATTTTTATATATATATATACACACACACATATATACACTGTATGTATGTATATATATATATATAATTTTTTTTGTGTCAATTTAAATTAATATCATGAATGTGAATTTAAAAAATATGATCCAGTAACGTAAAATAACTTTTATTTTGTGCGTTACTTTTATTGCAAGTAACGCACAAACATTGGACAGAAAATAAAATGCAATATATATATATATATATATTTGTATAAAATTAAGAAACTTAAATAGAGGCGTTTTTGCATCAGAGTCAATGGGACACGATTTTGCATTTAAGTCAGTAGGGGGAGTTTTTACATTGGAGCCAATAGGACGCAATTTTGCATTGGAGTCAACGGGACGCGATTTTACATTGGAGCCAACGGGACGCGATTTTGCATTGGAGTCAACGGGACGCGATTTTTGCATTGGAGCCAACGGGACGCGATTTTGCATTGGAGTCAACGGGACGCGATCAACGGGACGCGATTTGCATTGGAGCCAACGGGACGCGATTTTTGCATTGGAGTCAACGGGACGCGATTTTGCATTGGAGTCAACGGGACGCGATTTTGCATTGGAGTCAACGGGACGCGATTTTGCATTGGAGTCAACGGGACGCGATTTTGCATTGGAGTCAACGGGACGCGATTTTGCATTGGAGTCAACGGGACGCGATTTTGCATTGGAGTCAACGGGACGCGATTTTGCATTAAAGTCAATGACATTATCAG